ATGATGTAGGAACTATGCCATTATTTGCATGTTCGGTGAGAAACTTTCGTATTTTGGAGTAAAATATTAGTGTATTTTTGTATTTTAACCATCTTTAGTCTTATTTTATTGTGTTTTTAATTACTTTGATATGTTATTTTGAATTTTAACCATTTATTGTTCCATAATATTCCATTTAAATTTTGGTTTATTAAATCATTATTTTCTCAATTTTTTTTCATTTTAATCATTTTTATATTAAATTCATTCATATATGAATATAATTTTATGTTTTTATTTACGAAAAAAATTCTTCTTATAGTTGTTTGAATTAAATCATATTTTTATTATATATTTATATTTTTTTAGTTATGTAAATACAATTTCTATAAAAAGAAACTTGATTTTTTGTAATTTAAAAAAGTTATTAATAAAATAAAGTAGTATATAATTTATGTGGATTTAGGGGGCACTCCATTTTATCTATATTTTAATTAAATAGCGAGGGGACGCGTTTTCCAAAACTTGAAGGGGCGAAGCCCCATCGCGAAGCGGCATCGAAGATGCAGTCTCCTTGAGCAAAGTATCGACATCTTTGATGTCTCTAGAATCTCACATTCGTTTCGAAGACACAGTCTCATTTAGGAACCTTTGGTCTGTTCGGTGTAAATTTATTTATAGTAAATTTATATTAATGTAATTTTTTATCTTCCTTAAAATGACGGAATCTTACACGAATGAAGCGTTTAAAAAGTATATCGAGCTTTATCCTTTACGGTTCTTATATAATGTAGTGTCGGATGAAAACGTTGACGAGAAACTCATGTCGAAGGCTGACGAATTTATAGATGATTCTGAAAATATTAGTGAACTTGAAAGTGAACATGTAAGTGAATCTAGTGACGAGAAACTCACGCCGAAGGCTGAAGAAGATATTATAGAAAATCGTGCTTATTCTGATGAATCAAGTGAAGAAGACGTAAATGATTATGTTTATTATAATGAAGAAGATATCAAAGTTTTAGCAAACATGGAATGTGATTCTACTAAATTTAAAACAAGAATTAATAAATTTAAAGAATACTTTAATCAGTTTATTAGAAATAATAATATAAAAGATATAATTGTAAAATATTATGTTAGTCCTAATGGTATTCAAAAAGGGTATGAAATATCGATGTGTTTAAATAATAAAGATAATTATCAAAAATTTCAAAACTTTATGGATCATGGTTATTGTAAAGGAAAAAATGGTAGAATATTTCTAATTAATGAAATTACATTGATGATAATTTAATAGATATTTACTGTACGTACGAACTGTAGTTCTGAGATTTTCATAAACTGTAAAAACAAAGTAATATATTTTTCATCTTATCTGAAGACATCTATTGAGTATGTTATTTTTATAGTTAATATAATAATAGTGTTATATTACTTTATTAATAATATATTTAGTAATGTATAAATAATACATTTTTATTTTTATCTTAATATAAATGAGTACAGATAACACTTCTCAATCAAAATCAAAATCCTTAAAAACATTTTTCAAAGATTTGTTTTCTTCTAACAAAACAAATCAAACTACAAAGACGGACCCATTAAAACAAATAGATACTTCTGAAATTATTAAAGTAAGAGAAGCATCACTCCAAAAAGTGAATGATGTAACGCGAAGCGGGAGCAAAGCTCCAACACCAAAAACAGTATTTGATATGAGTTATCCTCCAAATGAAATTGAGCAAAGCGTCACGCCGAAGCCTGACGAGAAACTTATGCCAAAGACTGAAACTTTATTTGATATTACTTCTAAACATATTATTGCGTTACAGAAGATAATAAACAAATACAATTTAAAAGAAATAGATATGTTAAAACAATGTAACAAAGAAATCAATAGATATATTAATAATAACCCAGAAGTTAACTTAATCAATACAAAAGATTTAAATGCTACTATTTATATAAATGTTTATGTATTTTGTAAAATTAAAGCTAAACAAACATTAATTAAGAAACAACATAGAATTACTAAAAATGATCTTGACAATAAAGTCAAAAATATAGAGGGAGAAAAGCAAGAACAATTAGTATTATTACTTAATAAAATAGAAGAATTAAAAAACAATCAAAATAATATGAGAGATGGAATTATTAATAAGATGCTTCCGATAATAAAACATTATATTACTGTTAATAATTTAGATGTTAGTAAATTATTTGAGAATTATTATTTATAAATAGATACTTTTATTTTTATAACAATTATAGGTTCTGGTATATCGACACATCCAAAGGATGTGGAGTCCGCACCTGCGATATCATAATCTGCGTTTACAGCTTTTATTATTTCATCATGATTTAATATTCTTGTTTCTAGAACCTTAATCAATTTGTTCAAAGCATATTTATCTGTTAAAGGATATGTTTTACTCCAACCTTCATTAGTTTGGTAATTACATATTACATTATCATTACTTTGTATAGTTTTAAGATAATCATTTAAATATTCTATTAATCTTTCCATTCTTCTAATTGAAATTTTATATTCACATCCAAGATCGACAAATAAGGATTTGTTATCTAAATCATATTTAACATAATCATCAACATCTTTATCATAATCAAGTTTATTAAATTGTTCGGTCATTTTAAGGAAGATAAAAAATTACATTAATATAAATTTACTATAAATAAATTTACACCGAACAGACCAAAGGTTCCTAAATGAGACTGTGTCTTCGAAACGAATGTGAGATTCTAGAGACATCAAAGATGTCGATACTTTGCTCAAGGAGACTGCATCTTCGATGCCGCTTCGCGATGGGGCTTCGCCCCTTCAAGTTTTGGAAAACGCGTCCCCTCGCTATTTAATTAAAATATAGATAAAATGGAGTGCCCCCTAAATCCACATAAATTATATACTACTTTAATTATTTATTTTATAATAAATATTTATTTTATTAATTATATAAATTAATAA